AATTCACATGCTCAGAAAAAAAAAACCTTTATATGTCAAGTTGCTTGAGGAAGAACCTGACTCTCTACAGTAGTCTCCAAAAGAAAGGCAAGTCACTTTCACTCTCATCCATAGGAAAAAAACCCATTCATTTGTAATGGTGATCAAGCCATGGTCCTGAGGTTGCTTATCTGGGCCTGGGAGGTGGTCTTCATTTCCAGACTCTGATCCTGTCTCTAGGGGGTGGCCTGAGCATACACAGGTAGTAGCAACAGAAAACTGACCTTTGGAGGAGCTCTTATAGTAAGCATTCTGCATTAGGCTAGGAATATCTTAAGTCAAAAGTTGGGAAATGGCTGACTGGCTCTTGAATCTGAAATATGAACAATACTCCCAGAAAAAAAGATGATTTGATCTTAACCACAGAGGCCTGTTAAAATCCAGTGAGCTTTCTGTGGAAGCAGAGAAAGGAAATCGGGCACGAAGTCCTGGAACATGACTGCCTCAGCTTGATAGGACACCAATCCAAAGTCAGAACAGGCCTGAGGGACGCTCACCTTCATGATGGGATCAAGTTATTTATAGATGGTTCATCTTGAGTAATTGAGGGAAAGAGACATAATAGTTATGCTATGGTTGATGAGGAAAAAAATCTTTGTGTGAGGCAGTTAGGCTACCCAATAGTTGGTCAGCCCAAACTTGTGAACCGTGTGCTATTAACCAGGCTTTAAATCTCCCAGACGGTCAGGAGGGCACTATAGAAACAACTAAATATGCGTAGGGAGTGGTACACACCCTTGGAAAAATTTGGACAAAATAAGGCCTCATAAACAATAAGGGGAAAGAATTAGTGCACAGTGAGTCAATAGAATAGGTCCTAGAGAATCCTTTACCCTCAGTGGAGATGGCTAGCGTTCATGTAACTGGTTACCAGAAGGGGAGCTCTATGGAGGTTGTGGGTAACAGATTTTCAGAAGAGGCTGTAAATAAGCATCCCTTGAGAAGGAAGTTAAGTTGTTCAATGTAATCCCAAGTATCTGTAAGGTAATGTTGAGGCCTACTTTCACCCAGGGGAAAGAAAAGGTGTTAACGCACATAGGAGCTATCCAAACTGAGAGCTGGAAGCTGGGCACTTCCATCTTATAAACAGAAGTGGTCAACAAACCCATTTTGAGAGAACTAGGTATGATAGTTACTATGTAGCACCACTTTACAGTTACACATGAAAACAGCTTGACACTTAACATCTCTTTTAAGCCAAGAGTGGGCCTGAACTGCTGGGAATCTGTTTCTTTAGAATTCTCTTAGAACTGTACTGCTGAACAATGGCTTGCTCTTTCTTTTATTGAAATGATGTATCCAGCATGAAATGGGGAAGTAAAAATGAAATTGTCTTATCAAAGGATTATGTCCTTTCTCACCCACATTGACCTAGCACACACACAGCCACAAGCAGATGTTATCTGTTTAATCCCATTTGTTGTTTACAATATAAATGGGATAATCTTCATATGTTCACTGTTTCCCATGAATATCTTGTGCTGTTTGAAGTGCTTTCTTGAATATGCAAAACCTCCACACATTATTTTCAGTCAAGAGCAAGAAAGGATCATGAGTAATTAAGGCCATATGCCCAGCTCATAAGAAGAGCACATTGCTCATAGCTTATGTCTTTGAGGGGACCCCTGACTCTACGTGATGCAATTCTTGGAAATTACAGATGTATGAGAATTTATACAATCTCCAAACAAGTATGGGGTGTGTGGCTTGTCAAAAGATAGGCAAGAAGGTAGTGGGGAGACTGACCCTGAGTGGAAGGCCTCTGGGGCCAAGTCCCCTCTAAAGTATCCAGGTGGACATCACAGAAATGCCTGAGATAGGGAGAATGAACTACTCATGGGCCATCTGTCTGGGTGGCTAGAAGCCTTGCTTGTCCCAGCTGCTACTGGTAGCAGTGCCACCAGGATTATCTTAGAACAAATTGCGCCATGGTTTGGTCTTGTAGAAACCAAGGGCAGTGGCAGACATTTCACTTCTGAGGTGTCACAGGGAATGATAAAAGTTTTAAACATGAATTGGGACCATTATAGTCCTTGGTATCCCTGTTCATCTGGAAGAGTAGAAAGAATAAATCAAACCCATAAGAAGAATAGCAAATAGGCTAATTTTATAAACCCAGTTGCCCTGGATCAAATGTCTTCTTATAGCCCTCCTTAGCTTAGAACCATAGAACAGCTCCAGGAAGGAGTACGAGACTGTCCCCCTATGAGGTAGTATACTGTCTCCCATTTCTAGGCAGATGATCTAAACCCCAACAATGAGAACTGAAGATCAATTCCGGAAAAACTATGTGCTGACCACATCACCTACTTTGTCATTCATTAGATTGAAAGGATTTCTTGTCCAGACCCCTCCCTTGGGGTTCATGGTTCCTCAGTTCTAGTCTGGTGACTTGGAGCAAATACCTGATTAAGATGACAATCTTCAGCCTGGTTGGGAGTGTCCCTGTCAAGTGCTCTTGACTACGGAGACTGCAATGAGGACAGCAGAAAAGGGCTGGGCCCACTGTATGGGTTAAAGGACTGGTGAGTGTGAACAAAGGTAAGGATACCTGGATAGCCCTTAAAGAGGTACCTGGATAGCCCTTAAAACTCACTTTCAGAAGGATCTACGAACCTCTTTCTCTTGGTAATGAATGTTCTGAGCCTGAATAACTCTGCTCAGGACATCAGGGAAATAGTTGGATGAAAAGCAGGAGGTTCCAGGTGACAATTTAGATAAACAACCCGGATAAAGGTTACTCAGGAGAGCAAGCAAGCTCCACATGGCAAAAGTAGATGCTTGTCTGATTTAGATGCTTGTCTGATTTTAAGCTGTGGAGACATTCCTAATTGAAGGCTATTAGTAGCTTAGACAAATTCCTCTGCCCGAGCTCTAAAATCCTAGCTACAATGAAGCACCATGCACTGGGTGGTCTAATGTATGGTAGATCACAGACTACAGTAGATGGACAGGGTCTTACTCTTGGAATAAACCTCTCATTCCAAATATAGTTATCCTAAAAAGGTCTGTAGGACTGAAATGTGCTCCCCAGGGATGTCTCTCCTCATAGCTGTAGCCAAAGCAGATGAATCAGCAGGACTATGGATTAAGGGCAGATGTATCTGAATCTGATCCAGTAGGTCAGTCACATAGCTCTGTCAGGCCTTCAGCACCAAACAGCTAACAAAAGTCCCCTAGAAAGCCAAAGTGAGCCTCCTTAAATGATCCAAGAGGGTAGAAAGGGTAGAAATAAAAGATTTGAGGCAGACCTTAGAAATAGAAGCTGGATATCAAGAATTGAATGCTTGGATAGAATGAGTCACATTTATGGTACATGTGCTCAATTAGATCAATTGCTATGCTTGTGGTGTGGGATGTGCCAGGGTCAAGCAATCCCTTTTTTCCTGGGATGGGACCCAGACTCTACTGGAGTAAGTTGCATACCAGCCCTGTTTCAGGATAACGACACATGGGGAAATAGGACTTGCCAGAATCTGTCACTCTTGTTTTTGACCACAGAGGCTTATTGGAATCTCCCCCTTTTCTCAATAGGAAGGATGAAGTACTCGTCATGTCTCACATGACAAGGATATGGAGTCTCTCACCCAGTGATGGATCTTGGAACCTGTACCCCCATCTTGAATATCTCAAGCGACAGAGAAACAAATAGCAATTACTGCACTCAGTGTCTTAAGCTGACATACGGTGGTAATGTGGACAGAGGATCCTTTACTCAGCCTACCACCCAACTGTTACAGAATCTACACACTGGATCTATTGGCTATACCTTTCACTCTGGCCTTTGATTCCTCCTGTAACTAAGAGGTCAATACCTGGGTCTTTTGACTCACATATCTACATTAATTCTATAGGAGAATTCAGGGGAGTTACAACAATAAATAAGAATGTAGACTGAATTAACTATATTTATTATAATAAAAGATTTATCAAGTATACCAGGGCTGTCCTTAAAGGAGTGTATAGCCAGTCGGACACCACCAGCTGAATAGCTTGGGAGAACATCACAATTGATATGATGCCAGCAGAAAAGCATGGCGTTTGTGTTATGCTTGGTGGAAGATGATGCACTTTTATTTCCAGTAATGCAAATCCTCATGGGACAATTAACCAAGGCCCTTTAAGGATTAACTACCCTTGCCAATGAACTAGCAGGAATTGATTCATTTATAGACTGGCTGAAAGGATGGTTTGAAAATGGAAAGGGTTGATAGTTTGGGTTCTAACTGCCCTTGTAATTATAGAAAGAATATTAACTGCAGTTAGGATGCTGCATTATCCCTCATATAAGGGGTTAATCCCAAAACTCATTTAAGTAGCAATCAATAAGAAAATTCAAGTAATATATCAACATAATCTAATGCTTTTAGATACTAGATCAGATCATTGGGCTCATAATGAAAGTTAAAGAATGTTAGATCACTTTGAAAAGTTAAAGTAAATCTGAAAATAAGTTCAACAGAGTAAAATGGGGGCGTGGCGGTTCCGGAGCACCAGCTGCTGGGCGTGGCGCCGGTCTCTCGGCCCGCCGCTGGGTTGCTGGGATCGTGTCCCCTGCCAGCTGTCGCCACAGTGCTGCGGGTTTGCGGGCACCGCGTTGCTGTGCGGACCCGTGGGCTCTCCGCGGCTACTGGATGCTGGCGACTCAGTGGTCGCTGCGTTTCCAGGCGTGTTCTGTTCCAGACTCTGGCACTCCCTCAAGGTTCGAGACCCGTCGGCCGCCAGGTCACGACGGGAGGTGCGGAACAGCGAAAGCAGGGTCTTCGTGAGTAGTTTACAAAGGGACAGCTCCCTCCGGGAAGATGCAATATTCAGTGACACAGCTTCAGACACAGCTCCTGATGCAACTTCGATTTATTAATGGGAAACCAGGATATTTATACTGTGGGGGTAGTGGCAAAAGCCTTAATTGATAGGTGCTTTGCAGGATGCCCCATTTACATGTGGTGGTGGGCTTCTGCCAGGCTGTCAGACAGTGCCTGAAAATCACACAGGAAAACCTGGCAGTTTCAGAGCCAGAGGGCATGTATCTGTGATGGCTACTTCAAAGTGAGTCAGGAAGAGAGTAGGAAGGCACCCTGCTGATAAAAGGAGTCTCTGCATAGAACGCCAAGCCCCGTGGGCTATCCAGACATGGAGAGACTGCTACTTTACACAACAAGGGTCCCCAACAAGTAAAAAGAAAGCCGGGCGTGGTGGTGCACGCCTTTAGTTCCAGCACTCGGGAGGCAGAGCCAGGCAGATCTCTTTGAGTTCAAGGCCAGCATGGTCTACATAGTGAGTTCAGGTCAGCTGGGACTACAGGGAGACCCTCTCTCAAAAAGACAAAGGAAAAATAGTAAAAAGAAAAAGGAATTGTAAGAAATAAATCATTATGGCCCGTTTTCAGTATGAGGTGCACTTAGGGAATCACAGATAGGCAGGAGGCACTGGGCCCCTGTCTTCCCTGGTGAGCTGCTGGTACCTACTTGCCAAGGCCCTCCAGATCATTTTAGGGTTGAAAAGTTATAGTCTGCTATGTGACTGAGTACACACCTCAAGAAAGGCTGTAGAATCTCAAATCTCAGGAGGATGGGGAATTCGGGGTGGTGCTATGCTAGACAAGAGGTGTTGCATCACACTATTCCTGGGGAGATGTGAACATGTATCTACTCACCCCAGATAGAGAACCAACCACAGACCAAAGTAAGTGGCAATGCAAAAGCACATTCGCACCTCAAAGGGGATAAAAATACTTTATTCTGAACCAACTATGAGTTCCCATGGCCTGGAAACAGAGACTCAGGCTACCCCCAAATTCCAGTTTGAGGAGGTTTTTATAGTAACAGGGCAAAGAATGTCATTAATCAAGACACTTTCCAAATAGATTGCTAGAAACATTAAGTGGGCGGTTACAACAAGGTGGAGCAATCTCAGCTGTAGGCCTCAGATGCATCTTGATGACACTCAGTCTTTTGGTTGGTGGAAACTAGGGTTTTAAGTTAATACATCACAAAAGGTTTTTAATCTGTTAGTCACCTGACGTTAGGTCAGACACGGAGGGGACAAAGAATAGCTATTTAGGGGATTAAAGCTAGTCCAAGATAAATTGTATTTAAGCTCTGGACCTGCAGCATTTCGAATTTTCCACATTCATTTACACTCTAATCAGCTGATCAGCTTTTCAGAAGGTTCAACCTGAAGATGTGAATTTTTTTTCTAGGACTTTGTTCACATAAGGATATCACAAAATCCAACTTGGTGAACCAATGAGTTTTGTTGGAGTTACTTATAGGAGTATGGGTGAGAAGGTTACTCACAGGAGCAGAAGTAACTCAAAGACAGGTTCTTCACCAGAAACCCACCCAGCATAGGTGACAGCTCACAAACGTAGGAAACCTGGAGTGCACTACACCACCTGCAGGCAGCTTAGTTGATCAGTTTCTTCCAGGCAGCTTTGCTGATCTGTCTTTCCAGTGGCTCAGCTGATCTGACAGCATCTCTGGTCAGTGTTGGAGATTGAGGGCCTAGTGAACCTGGTCAATTTTAGGGACTTCCTGAAGCTATTCAGTTATTTACATCTGTGTTGTTTATGTCCATAACCAAGGCAACTTATAGAAGGAAGGGTCTCTTTGGGCTTACAGTTCCAGAGGGATAAGAGTCCATCATGATGGGGAGCCATGGCAGGAGGCAGCCAGAGCAGAAAACTGATAGGTCACATCTTCAAGCACATGCAGGAAGCAGATACCATAAGTGGGGCAAGGCTATGAATTCTCCAAGCCTGCCCACAGTGATGTGTTTCCTCCAACTATGCCATACCTCTTAAAGGTTCCATGATGCTCCCCAAACAGTGTCACAGCTACCCAAGTGTTCACATACTTGAGACTATGAGGGACACTTCTCATTCAAACCACCACATTTCACTTCCTGATTCCCATAGGCTCATGGCCATTTAATAAAGCAAAATGCGTTTAGTTTCACTTTAAAGTACCTCTAGTTTTTAACAGTAACAACACTGTTCTAAAGTTCAAAGTCTCTTTGGAGACTCAAGGCACTCACTTAAATGTAACCCCCTACAAAAATAAGAACATATTACATATTTCCAACATACAATGGCATACAATCCCATTCCAAAATGGAAAAATGGGGGCATAGTGAGGAAATACTGGACCAAAGCAAGACCCAAAACCAGCAGGGCAAACAGCAAATCCAGTAGCTCCATGTCTGATGTCTGGGACTTTACTTCCAAAGGGTGTAGATGGCTCAGCCTCTCCAGCTTTGCTCGCTGCAACATACATCTCTTTTGGACGGGTTCCACTCCCTGTATGCAGCTCTCCTTGGCAGATGTCTCATGGGTCTGGCATCTCCAACATCTTGGGGTCTCCACTGCAACCCAGGCTTCACTTTTATGACCTGCCAAGACCTTCTTCATGCAGAGAACCCCTGTGTAAAGTCAAATTTACTTCTGAGAGGCACATGCGTGCCTATACAATGTTCCTTTAAACTACAGTTTAGGGAATATTTATTTGGGTGTTCTTACAGAGCTCATGATATCTGGGAGGGGGCTACTTACAAAGGCCTGGACACCCATGGGCTTTTCTCCCTAAATCTCAGCTGAGTTTTCCAGACCTGCTCCCACCAGCCCGCTGGCCCAAGATGCTGAAGCTCCCTCCTCTTCCCTGGCTTTTTCCATGTTTATCCTTAGACCCTCCCGCCTCATGAAGTTGAAGCTGACTGATTGGGTGAGAGAGATGATTGTCTTTCTATGACTCCTTTCTATGGAGTCTCTTAGGGTTCAGACATCCATCTGTTGTTGGTCCTTCAGAGGACGTGACTACCCAACACTTTCAAGCTTCATGCAATGACCTGCCAAGACCTTCTTCATGTGGGGAACCCTTGCCAAACATTTCCTGGGTTAAGTGGCTCTCTGAAGCCACAGAGGAAGAAATAACGATCCCCCCGATACACACTCTTGCATCTTTCATACCTCTAAAGTCAGCACCACAAGGATGACGCTGCCGAATTTGACTGCCAGCTTGGACTGGACCCTAGCTTCCTTTGTCAAACAGTTTTGTTACAGAGTGTTGGAGGGGTCCCACTGGAAAATATTGTTCTGGATTTCACTGAGCTTCCCTAAGTCTGAGGCTGTACGTATATAGTAGTCTGTACACACTTTCTCAGACTGGGTACAGGTTTCTCCTACTCACACAGGGAAAGCACATGAAGTTGGCCTGAGTTCTCCTAAAGGAAATCATTCCTTACAGAGTGTTGGAGGGGTCCCACTGGAAAATATTGTTCTGGATTTCATTGAGCTTCCCTAAGTCTGAGGCTGTACGTATATAGTAGTCTGTACACACTTTCTCAGACTGGGTACAGGTTTCTCCTACTCACACAGGGAAAGCACATGAAGTTGGCCTGAGTTCTCCTAAAGGAAATCATTCCCTGATTTGGAATCCAAATCAATATGGGATTGGATAATGGGCTAGTGATCCTGGCTAAGGTTGTACAGTTAGTAGAAAAGGGGTTAAAGATCACCTGGAAGTTACATATACCTTTCCCAGAGCTCTGAGAATGTGGAACAAATGAACAGAATTCTAAAATTACAACTAAGGAAACTGCACCAGGAAACCCACTTACACTGGCACCAGCTGTTGCCAATTGTTTTGTTAACTAGGTCTTGATCCCTGTATGGTGGTGTATGCCTTTAATCCCAGCACTCATGAGGCAGAGGCAGGCAGATCTCATAAGCAGGAAACTCTATCTGGTAATGTTATGAGGTTGTGTCCTGGTCCTACCTCTCTTGAGCTCCTTCTTTCCCCTTATCCCCTAGGTTCCTTGTATACCCTTCCCATTTCCTTTCCATTATCCTGGTTTCTATAGTTATTTGTAGATACATACTCTTGTAATTG